ACTGCTGGAGGTGTGGTTCTAAATTTTCATAGCCATGAGTTGATGGGGATGTTGGCGTTGAAGCGCATATTGGAGATGGCTTTTGATGCTCCTGTGTGGTAGTGTTTTCAGATACCGACCCTTCCTTAGATTTTTTAGGGGTGCGAGCTGCCGCATCAGCAAAAGATTTTGACATATCTTGAAGAGTTCTTTTATTAGATTCACACATTTTCAAGAATACACAATACCACTAATATAAACACACCTTTATAGAATCAAATGTAATTGTGCAATATACAGTAACATAGGTTTACAAGCCTTATAACTGAAAATTCAGGCTTAGGACGACTCCATGCCACACATCCAGGTTAGAGTGAGTAATGTTCATAACGCTAACACCAGCATATAAAATTCAAACACAAATAACTCACATATTTCAGCATTGCTCCCTGAATTTTCAAATCATAACACACCCTTCAATGTTCTTATAGTTTTCTTATAGTTTTCAAGCCTATACCACATACATTCTCAGCTAGATTCAACTTAAAACTCACATTTAGTCGGAGCTGATAAAAAACCGTACACCATTGAACAAGGGCCACAACTTTTTCTTACGGTTACGGTTGATTAATTTACGATTTTACCTGGGAGACTTATTCTTTGATACCCCAAAAAACTGACAATTTTAGCTTACGGCTATATCGGCAATGATTGAATTTTAACACTATAAATCTGCCAAACAAACATAGCAAAACTGAGTAAAATAGATGAAAGAGTAAAACAAGTTTCATGTCGCAATCGTATTAGTGTCATCCTTTGTTACGATATATTTTTAACCGGGAAGTGATAAATGTTTTATAAACACTATTAAATGACCACATGTAGTAACAAAAGAAACTGCATGCCAAAGACTTAGAGAAATAAACAATTTCCTGATCCATTGACTTAGAGTAAATTTGCTTTATAGAAAGTTTTCTTACAAAGGAATTTCATCTAAAACATGTTAAAAGTACAATCTAAATTTCCTTAGAAATATTTACTGTATTTGAAATGATTTATAAATTTTGAATAAAAATTGACTTAATAAGAAAAAGAATGAAATAGAATTATAATTTAGATTTTATGATTATACTTAATAAAACAGATTTCTTGACTAAAAAGGTTTTGAATTTACTAGGGGGAGGTAAATGCAAAATTTACAACATGATAGATGTATCAGATTTCGTGAAATTCGTATTTTTGACTAAAAACTTGCAATTTCACTTGTTAACATCATTCATGCGTAAATAATTTTGAAGCGTGAATAATTTTGAAATCCTGATATTTTTTGAAGTACATCAGACACAAATCAAAGCCAAATAAAAATCTTGAAATGCCAAGACTCAACTGCTGCATTATACTTGTTCGCCATACAAATGGAGATCACTTGAGATTTCTAATGTGCATTCTAGAACAAATGATTTTTTATTTGTGTGCATGTACTTTTAATCTTTTGGTGCAAGGCAAAATTTCAAGCATGAAATCAGAGAGAGAGAGAGAGAGAGAGAGAGAGAATTCAATTCGTCTAAAAATTTCACAATAGACATGAACTTCCATATCATTATTCAGTCGTTTTCGAAAATGTATTATGAAATTTACTTTCTTTACCTTTACTGGCAATATACTGCGTGTATTTGTAGAATTTGAAATGCATTAACAGTAAATCTTTGTAACATTTTACGAGGAATAGAGTATCTGAACCTATCTCTGCTTGTTATGAAGGACTTATATCAGGTATATTTTGTAGTCTTTGAACGGTACTTTGTGTGTTTTTCAAGATGAACTCTCGCCATCTCGTCACCGACTCCTTACATTTACATTAGCTTTATACCAATGAACGTTGTACTTACGTCGTTCAAAGGGAGATCATTTGAAAACCTCCAGAGTTACCTTATGAGAATTTCACAAGATAACTGCTAAGCATTTGAGAGCTAAGTATAAATTGGAGATTTCTGGAGGTTGGTGGTGGGCTAATATTTCTGCTTCTTTCAGGCAGTAAAACACATGAACCAACCTGCTTCATGTATCTGCACATGCATGTACATGTATTGTCCTGCATATGCAACCTGTGCACCTTATGCTTGATCAAATGAATCGCTCTTATTTTTAGTTACACATATTGATATAGTGTTTTATAAATAAATTTTAACCTCGGAAATTTGAATCTTAATATATTTTTTGTTCTTGAAACGAATGTCTTGTCTGCATAAATCAGAGTTGTGACTGTGTTAATTTTGTTGGTTCAAAATAGTAAGAAAACTTATTCTTTACAATGATTAAGATTGAATTTTTGTAATAATAAAGATATAGTAAATTACGAGGATGTGACTAAAAAAGGCACATGCTCATTGTTGAATTAAAAACGATACAAAACCTTTTTTCGTGTTGTGAAGATTATAATACAAAGTCATTGTTGCAGTCTTTGAAAAAGTAACTGTTTTGTGAGCTGAACTCTAGTCATCACGTGACCAGAAACCGTTCACCGCTATCAATTGAACTTGAAGCGCGAGAGCTAGACTTATGTAGCCGAGTTCCTAGACTTATGTAGATAAACGATTTTTTTAATGATAACTGTCATAAGATTGTATTTTTGCATCAATGTTAGATACATTGCAAGGCATTGCCGTTACAAGATCAATAAAGAACCCCCAATTACTTTTTTTTAATAATGAAATTTATGAAATTTATCTTCGATGTATCAGATTTCGTGAAATTCGTATTTTTGACTAAAAACTTGCAATTTCACTTGTTAACATCATTCATGCGTAAATAATTTTGAAGCGTAAATAATTTTGAAATACTGATATTTTTGAAGTACATCAGACACAAATCAAAGCCAAATAAAAATCTTGAAATGCCAAGACTCAACTGCTGCATTATACTTGTTCGCCATACAAATTGTGATCATTTGAGACTTCTAATGTGCATTACTAGAACAAATTTTCAATTGTGCGCATGTACTTTTATTCTTTTGGTGCAAGGCAAAATTTCAAGCATAAAATCAGAGAGAGAGAGAGAGAGAGAGAGAGAGAGAGAGAGGGGAGGGGAGAAGGATGTAGAATTCAATCAACCACATCATCCGCTTTTCACAGTTCACGTGTGTGTGTTTTTCTTGTTTGTTTGGTTGGTTGGTTTTTTTTTTTTTTTTTTTTTGGGGGGGGGGGTATTCCATTGGGTTTTCAACATGGGGTAATTGCAAAATTTCCCTAGAAAAATCTTTCCCAAAAGGCAAAGTTTTCATTTCTTTGTGTTAGTGTAATATAGTTTACTTAGAATACTATAAATTTAGTTTCATTTCATTGAATTTCATTCACTGTAGATTTTATTCTATCATACATGAGGAGACACTCTTCAGATGGAAAAAAATAGAGCCTGGCATAATTAAGTTAGTTATGCTAAAATTAAAGACTGTCTAATTTGTGCCCAATCTTACTCTTTATCTGCCTTTTGATCTTAGAATAGACTTTTTAAACCGGAGACAATATGTGGGTAAACACGCTGGTGGCGTTGGAGGGGGGGGGGGGGTGTTAGCTACACAGTGCTATGTGTATACAGCATTGTACAAGTACATGTAGATCAGATATGTACAGACAAAGTCAATAAATACTCCGAAACTGTGAAAATACTACAAATAATGATGTGAATATTTTTCCTTTTTTGTGGCCATTATATGAAAAAAAAAACTGACCACAGAATATTTCTAAAATAGCCTCTCATAAGAGCTTGGTAGTAATGTCATTAACTTACTAATACTATCCAGTTTTTTTAAAGCCTGAAAGTTTTCTTACATGTAAAAAGGCATGGTTATATATAATAACAATGTATAAGGAAAATAAAGATTCTTAATTTAGGTGTGGATGAGGATAATCGACATTGCTGGAAGCTCGTTATTCTTGCATAAATGACCGGGACACTTTATGAGAATTATCATCTTTGCAGCTTGTTTACCAAATACCTGGTAATGATTGTTTGAGGATCGAGTCCCCCCCCCCCCCCCCCACCAGATACTGTATCCTTCTTAATCAGGGCAACTTCCATACACATGTGAGCAATGCAGCCCTTCTACCACAAAGAACCTTTTTAAACACATAAACAGACCAATCATTTAATGTTTTGTTCATTTCTAATGATCGAGATACATGTAAAATGGGAATAAAACACGAAGTCATACATGTATATCGACAATAATTCAATTAGGAATCCCCTTTGCTAAATTTAGAATTTTGAGATCAGACATTTTATGTCAGTTTTATATGTTTTCCCAGAAGGGTAAGTACCTTTTACTTTTCACTTAATTATTTCATGTCAAGTAAAACGACCCTGAAAATCTACAATGTCATAAAACAAAGTAATCAATCACTGTTGCTGAAAAACTTTTATATCCTGCGCTGATAATCATATACTTATTAAATTTTCAACAGTGAAATACTGTGATTTATTTATTGAATAAAAGTGATATTCTCTCACAGTGTGAAAGAATACCAAAAATGATATTCTCTCACAGTGTGAAAGGATATCAAAGTAAGTAAAAAATAATTTCTGGTCTGTCATAAGATAGAGGTAGTAACTAAGTATCTTGATAGAGCTAAAACTGCAAATTTCTTCCTTAATATGTTGCTAAAATCCATGCTATGTAATGTTTTCAGTCTGACACACAACTTCTAAGCTATGACGTCTCAACCGCTCAGCTATGACGTCACGCCTATGACACTGTGTTTTAAAAGAAAAGACAGAGGCAAAGGGAAAATAAAAGAAAATGTAATAAACAGAAAATTCAATGTTTTGTAGATGAATATGGAATTTATTTCACTCGTGAGACAGGATTTTTTGATATTTTCACTCGTGCTTCGCACTCGTGAAAATATCAAAAAATCCTGTCCCACTCGTGAAATAAATTCCATATTCATCTACAAAACATTGAATATCCTCTATTTATTCTTTCTTAAAGATTTGTACAATACAATATGATTCATAAGTTTAAATTAAGATTTCAATTTTTAATGAAACACATCTTTAGAAATAATGTCGAAGTTTTGCGATTACGTAAGGTACCTCAAAAAAAAGCGTCTGTGTGTGTGTGTGTGTACGTATGTATTCACAAATCTTTGAAATTGTGAAGGCACAGACGATTTTATTACTAATCAAATGTTTCTGATAAGAAAAGAAAAGTCATTAAAAATGTAATTTTACATGATTATTGCAAACGCGTATCTTAATTAACTCGTCTTCAATGTAACTTGTACAAATATGTCAGGTCTTAGCAACTTGCACAAATGCACAAAAGTACAGCTCCTCGATCGGAAACACGTACACCTTTAATGTCAAAGTGGTACTAAAAGAAAGGTTGATTTTCCCTCAACGATTCTTCCGGATCAAATCAACGTGTCTGTGCCACAGTATGAGTGAACATGTTGCTGTGCATTCATGTACATGTAAAGGAATACTTTTAGTAGACACTTTTCCATATTAATTCGGTTATGATCTTAAATCTAGTCCCAGCCAACAGCAAACTGTTTGATCACATTAACCACCTGTGAATCAGCACCCTCTATGCGAAGAAAATCTTCCTCGTATGATGAAATGGGGGATTGGTTTCCTACAACGTCCACAACAACAAGTCGGGGCTCCCTTCCAGCCCAAGGCTGTGATCGGTAGCGATCCATGGCATCCTTCAGTTGATAATGCTCTTGTTCAGTGTAAGTTTTTGAGGTAAATAAAACAAATACATTTACTTCCAACTGGTTCCTAATTGCAAAATCTATAGGTTTGGTCAGATTTGAACTTTCAACACCACCAACGAAAAGCGAATTTTCCACATTTTGAAGCCTGTCGTCTGGGGATATCGGTAGAGGACTGCAAATATCGGAAGCACCGAATGGTAAAACATGGTAGGTATTTACGTATCTGATGAGTTCTAACAGAATACCCGTAACTGCCTGGCGTGAGGTTATCTTAGCAGAAACTACGCAGTCAGAGGGAGAAATAGTCAAATCAATACCGAAAGCCATCCGAACACTCCTGGCCTCAAAAATGTCGGTCCGTGGTTTCAGTGACTTATAAAAAGCTTCCTCAAGAGCACAAAGAATTGTTTCTGATGGCGTAAACACATTTCCGCGAGCAGTCCGTTCTCCCGATTTGTGCTGGAAATATGCTGTAAGAATTTCGAATGGATGCACCCGTGCCTCATTCAGCAAACCCAAATCGTTCAATTTTTGCGCAACTATGTTTACATCTCCGTCATACAAGTTGAATACCTCATTTGATGCTAAAGAATTCAGGTTACGAATGACTGCATGGATTGGCATATGTTGAAGCAGAGCATGCCATATCTCTGGTTTGTTCAGGAATTCTTTCCGAACATGTTCATGACAAAGTTGGTGTGTTTCAATTAAGTGAATCAGGTGAGCCTCATCGCCCCTTGTCCTGCACCTTCTGGCTTCTTCCACTCCTTGTATGTAATTCTTCACGGATTCTAATTCAGGAGACGGATGATGGATATTTAAATTGGCTCCATTTAAACCACGGATGATGTATCCAAGTATATACTGCACTTCCTGATTGAAAGGTTTGACATGCGCAAGGCGTATTACATCCTTGTGACTCATATTTCCTCTTTTGCGGTATTTGGTCACGTGATATGCTAATTTCATCGGACCTCCCGGGTAATTATTGTAGAGATTAGAAATAGCTTTTCGCCTTGCACGTCCCCACTTTTTACCCACAGCATCTTCTTGGGAAAATTTAATGAATTTTATGAGGTGGTCAAATATTCTGCACACATCTGGGATGATCCTGTTTGCCTCGCGCTTCGTTACTAAATCGCTGGACGTCGAGCAGACGGCCAGGGCACGAAGTATTGCGTTCTGCTTTGCTGCTCTTCCCTCCAAACTGTATTGTTTAATAACACGAACAACATCTTTCCCTCTACCACCAGCAATTAACCTGAAAATGTAGATCTCAGTTATCAATACTGGCACATATAATTATTCAACACATACAGTAGATTATTTAAAGAATGAATTTATTAGCTACCTAAGTTATACTGTATAACCTGGGTGGGGACAGTTTACGCTTTATAAACCGCAAAGTGGTTACTAAATGTAACATCAAGCGGATTAATATGTTTTTGACGTAAGTCATTGTGATGAAGGCAACACAGGTTATACGAAACAAACTACATGTAATTTCTTTTTCCAATTAAATCATGTTATACAGCTGTACAACCAAAATTAAATTATTAAGGAATACCAGGTGATAGGCTCTTGCCAATTATATAAAATTTAATTCAACTTGGGTAGCTATTAAATTCATTCCTTAAATACATCTAATATAACCCTTTTTTCGAGGTCGATCCAGTCTTGCTTATCATATGACGCCAAACTAGAAGACACATCTTCGTGGACGGTCGTCCTGCTTTTCCGCGATTACCTAACACTGCTTTTCCGCGGTTAGTTTTATTCTGGTAGTTTACATTCAGTCGAAGTCAAAAACGGAAGTCGTGCTCTTAGCATCTCAATCAACTGTCAGTTTAATAATCGCAATGAAAAAAGTGCAGAAATTGCTTTGGTCAAAGGACACACACGCTACACCAAACAAAAGAAAGTAATGCGAAGTTTTCAATACATGAATTAAAAGATATTGATGAAGCATCTTAAGAATTTTAATTTTTCGAACAAACCACTCGAATGAGTAATATTTGACTGCTTTACAGTTTGTTTACTTTCGGAAATGTCAGATTGATTCGGACCTACATGTAGTTACATGTAAATTCGGTCAATGCTACAAGGTTCCTCGACTATTGATAAATCTAATACAGAGTTAATCTAGTATTTTGCTACAATGTTTATTTGATATCATTTCATTTTGAAATTTCTAAATTTTTAAAGTCAGTATCAAAAATTGTATAAAAAATATACACTGTACAACAGTCATGAAGTTTAAAAGATGATGATTTGACACCGTATCTCAGAACTGTTTCAGTACTTTGATTTCTATATGTCATGTTTTATCACCTTTTTTAAAACCTCCTTTCCGCGATTTTTAAAAGGTCACGGTTGGCGCTTAGGATTGCTACAACGCAAAATGTAATATTTACTCAAAACGTAATAAATTGTTTATTACATTTTGCGTCGAGGCTAACTCATAATGTAGTAACGCAAAATGTAATAACACACTTTTTGGATTATTTAATTTTGCGTCGAGATCAACCCAGAATGTAATAACGCAAAATGTAATAACACTTTTTTGGCTTATTAGATATTGCGTTATTACATGTTGCATCGAGGTTTAGGTAAAATGTAGTAACATACTTTTTTTTAGATTTAAGATTAGAATTCAGACATTATTTGAGCCCATTTTAAGTCACATTTCCTGGTGTTTCAAAAATCTGTCAATACGATATGGTATTAAAATATATGTACATGTAAATTCACATTTTTTGTTCCTAAACTTCTGTGCCGAAATTTACACATATTTTATCATGCCATTGAAGTTAATACTTGCGTTACTAGAGATAAAACTTATCCATCCAAATTCAAGGAGAAACAATTTACAGAGGAGCAACAAGTTGAACTTGCAATAAAATAGAACAGAAACGCTTTTAGCTTATACACTGTAAGTTATAAATAAAATTAAATCCTTTTCGATTTATTAAAAAATAAATTAAGGTACATGTATATGAACAATGATTCAAATCCAGAAAACTTCCAAAAGTTCGAAAATATGGTCATCAGTTTGTTATGGCAATTAACAAGGATTGTTACATTTTCTTTTGATAAATTCTGCTTTGGGATCAATACGTGTATTAAACGTATGTCACCGGGTTCACAGGTGCGTGAAAGTCAGTCAATATATCGGGTCTCAATAGCTCAGCTGGTTAGAGCGCTGGCACGGTACGCCAGAGGCCCTGGGTTCGAGTCCCGGTTGAGACTTGATTTTTCACCACCTGTGACATTTGGCGCCCAACGTACAAATACCCATTATTCCCTTGGAACATGCTTCACGCATTTCCTTAACTCATAGAATTCGAGGACGAATTTCTACGAAGAGGGGGAATATGTCACCGGGTTCACAGGTGCGTGAAAGTCAGTCAATATATCGGGTCTCAATAGCTCAGTTGGTTAGAGCGCTGGCACGGTACGCCAGAGGCCCTGGGTTCGAGTCCCGGTTGAGACTTGATTTTTCACCACCTGTCGGTTGAGACTTGATTTTTCACCACCTGTCAGGTGGTGAAAAATCAAAGGCCCTGGGTTCGAGTCCCGGTTGAGACTTGATTTTTCACCACCTGTCGGTTGAGACTTGATTTTTCACCACCTGTCAGGTGGTGAAAAATCAAGTCTTAACCGGGACTCGAACCCAGGGCCTCTGGCGTACCGTGCCAGCGCTCTAACCAACTGAGCTATTGAGACAGTATATATACAAACAGCATGGATTTTCTTTTATGGCAAAGTTGGACCATTGAAGTTTCAGCTTTAAGTACTTCAAAATTGTTTTCTGCTTTAATATACGTGTAACTGTATATGTACTAATTTAAAAAAAAAATCAATTATTTGGCAAGCGTCTTTTGCATATCATAACAATTCCAAGGGAGGCAACTTTCAGATTATTTCTATTTTTCCAAAGTATGTACAGGATAAAAATACATTAAAAAATACCAAATTACTAATTATATAAATTAAAGGAATTTTTAGAAGTAGGTTTGTACATCCATAAGTGTTGCCAGAATACTTCAAGAATGCACAGCTTTCTTTATGGTTCTGTAAAGTACATGTACTTTCGTTTTCACCATCAACAATATAGGTGCCTCGAAGTCCGCGATTTTTTTATCTGTCTGTTTATCTTTGTATTTATTTCAACGTCCGATAAATGAACAAATTTAAAACGCAAGTGACTTATTTTAACTTGACTTTACCTGTGGATAAAACTGAGATCAATTTTTGTAGAGGAGTGCGATACAGAGTGGGGATGATAAACTGAATTAGGTCCTCCAAGAATCAGGAACTGTTTTAGTTTCCGAAAATCCGACTCTAGTGGAATTCCTGAACATTGTTCCATGTTCCATTACAATATATTGAAGATTACAGAGGAAAACTGCTGTGATGTGATGGATTGTTTATAAGAATACCCTAGGAATTTTTGAATGATGTCATAGTTTTAAAATAGAAATGCTACTGTGAGTCAGGAATAGCGCATAATTTCAAATCGCTGAAAACAATCCTGGGTACTATATGTTTATGTTTTAACTTTATTCACCAATTAAGGGTCCTCAGGGGACATTTACAATCATAATAGTATGATCACATTTAAATGTCATTTTGATAATATAATAAAAATATTAATCATTTCTACAATGAAGGTACAAATGGAAGATGTACAATACCACAAATTAATGATACTTGTGAAAATGTAAGAGATGTAACATATCCACAATTGTCTGAAACTGGGTCAAAAATATGAGAGAGGTAGAAAACCACTTGAAGGTATATAGAAAATGATAATAATAATAATAGCAGCTTATTTTGTGTATTGTAAAACAGGTGGCTTGAATACAAAGGATACCAAGGGATAATGCCTGTGGACACTCAATCTGATTGGCAAACTTGTACTTTAAGTATTCAAGACATTCAATGTACAATTGAAAGTGGTAGGGAAAGTTAAAAAAAAAATGTACATTACAAATAATTATGTTCTTTACACAAAATACACCTTTATGAAATGAGTCACAGCTAGGTAATACAGGTATTTTATGTTCCAGTATTCAGAATCGTTATACCGACTTGTACTAGTATTTGAAATATTTAACATTTCCATGCACACTTGTCTAAAACTGGGTCAATAAAAGAAAAAAATGAAGATACCGTACAAAACCATTTGATGATATACACGGCAGCAAATCCAGACGGTTGGGGTGTGAAAGTTGTTAAACTTATGTAGTAAAGTAACGGAAAATGATCTTGCACCCCCCCCCTTTTCCCCACGAGAAAGGGACCTGGTTGTACCTTTAAGATGGTAAGCAGAAAGTTTATAGATTGGCTTGTCCTAAATTTGAGTTGAATTTTTTAAAAGGACCGTGGAAGGAAAATCCAGTGTCCGCCTTTGATTAGATGTAAATCAATCTAACGTACAATATTTACGAAATGAATTCAATTTTTGAAGATTCATGAGGACATGAACTACGACGCTTCACGCCGGCATATTTCATGAAGCGCGTTAGCGCTTCATGATAAATATGCCGGCGTGAAGCGTCGTAGTTCATGTACCTCATGAATCTTCAAAAATTGAATTCATTTCTTATATTTACATTATTTTTCTGATGAGTTGCCACAAATTACACAATTCAACTGTCATTTTTAAAGCAAAACAGTTTGCACTATAGTTTTGACGTCAAGTACGGTATTATGACGTAACAATGGAGATATTCATGCTCATCCATGGTAGTTCATGAGAAAATGAACAGTCGTCTTATTTGCAAAGAATCTTAAGGAAAAATATTTGGAAATGTAAATATAAGTGTATATAGTCCAACACTGCAATGACAAATCAGCAAAATGTACGTTTCAGTGTGCATGTATATGCATTTCTTGTCTACGGTATATGTTGGACTTGAATGCTCATTTCATACCCATAAATGATCCATTCGTGCTATCCATCTGCGTAAACCAGTAATTAAAATAATGTTATGTACCTTTATACTCTAAATAATATCACAGCTAGTTTATTTAGAATACTGCGTTTTTAATTTACTGATTTAGATGGAGGCTTTAATTGAGAGTATCATGCTGTAATTTTTTTTTAATTTACTTGACGAGCGATTGAAGGTAGAGTCAAATTTTACAATATGATTATTAGTTATCAAGATGTTAAGATGAGTTTTTCCTCCAACCAGGTAATCAAAATTTACAACATGACGCCACGCAACTAGACTCGCCAGTTTGGAAAAAAACATATAAAGAAACTGGCTGCATGGTACGATCTAAATATCCTTTCTAAAATAATTAGTCGCTTCATTTTTAAGAAGGGGTTAAACTATTTCAGAAAGAAAAATAAAATTTTACAGTATAATAAAATGTGTTATGATCAAACTCCCAAATACGTTTTGTTACTTATTGCACAAGTATACTATAATAACCGACACACACTGTTATTAGATACAAAAAATAATTTAAAAAAAATAATTAAATAAAACAATTTTTAAAAAAAAAAGGTTAAACAAATGAAATGTGGTGCTAACTTTTAAATGCAATAATTTATCAATGCTGTAAAGTACATATTCATATTTTAGGACGATCAGTTCAGCCGAAAACAGTTTATTTCCAAATATTTCCATTTCTATTTGTTTTCTCTGTGCTTATGAGAGTTGATTTCTTGATCATTCTAGCGGAATGCAAATTTTGCCAAGCGAAAGGTCAGTAGCTAAGAAGGCATAATATGCATGTAATTCTCGTGCGGCTGTCTTTGTGTCTGACTCTAAGGAGGCCTAATATGCATATATTTCCATTTCTATTTATTTTCTCTGTGATAACTCTTTGAAAGTTAGGAGAGTTGATTTCTTGATCATTCCACCGAAATGCAAATTTCGCCAAGCGAAAGGTCAGGAGCTAAGAAGGCCTAATATGCATGTAATTCTCGTGCGGCTGTCTTTGTGTTTTGACGTCAGTGGGCGGGGACTATTGAAATTGACATGTGAGGCCTCGTGTAATTTAAATCTACTAGTCTACATTTTTAAAATCTAAATTTACAATTTTATTTCACAATGAAATGGAAATATAAGGAATCACTGTCTAGTTAGTAGAGTATGCCAGGGACATCAACGATAGTTGGAAACGTGGGATAATTTATGCATAACGGGCTTCGCCCGTTATGCAAATTATCCCACGTTTCCAACTATCGTTGATGCCCTGGCATACTCTACTAACTAGACAGTGATTCCTAAAGTAATTCTCGTGCGGCAGTCTTTGTGTTTGACGTCAGTGGGCGGGGTCTATTAAAATTGACATGTGAGGCCTCGTGTAATTTAAATCTATTAGTCTACATTTTTAAAATCTAAATTTACAATTTTATTTCAAAATGAAATGGAAATATAAGGAATCACTGTCTAGTTAGTAGAGTATGCCAGGGCATCAACGATAGTTGGAAACGTGGGATAATTTGCATAACGGGCTAACTAGACAGTGATTCCTTAAAAATATTAGACTAGCTGAAACTCGCAGTGCCGAATGATTTCACTTTTTTAAAAGAATTAACTGCAATTTAAATTTAAACATCTAACTAAAAGATTTGCATTATTGTCACCACCCTTCCTTAATTTCATTAGTATATAAAATAAAAATACTTAAAAGATTTAATTTTAAATAAAAATTTTGTTTTAAATTCAATTTCATCCTTTTTGGGTCCCCAACTTTTCGACACATAATCACAACATGTAGAGAACATTTCAACCAGTACAAGTAATGGATTTTTTAAAGTTTGAATTGATATCGATAGTAAAAACATTTTAAAAAATGAAATCGGTTCATTTGGAAATTCTCTTGAAGATAACTAAAATAGCAAAATGTAAAGTTAAAGTGTTTTGGTTAACTTAAGTGTTTGGATCAAAATTCTAAATTACTATAAAAGCTTGCAGCGTTCTAAAAGTTAAAATTTAGAGACATATATTTCAACTTTAGACGATCATGATCGATACTGAATTTTAGATTGTTAAGCAAACGTTTTTCCTTCAATACATAGATTACTGATTCAAAACATTAGAATACATAAAATTTAGGATAAAATGAATTTGAAATCTTGGTTTTTGAATTAAAATATTTTAAATTTCCAAATAAATCTGAATCTTATTGAAAAAAATTTATTTGAAATATTAGAGGGACAATTAACTTCAACACAAGAAAGATAACTTTCAATGACACCCTGTATGTTAACCTTCCAATCAGGTGATAACAAGGTCCGCCATTTCTTAATTTATGGATTCCTATTTTGATACCTGTAAATAGAAACTGAAATTTCCCGTTATAAGGTACTGTTACATATTTGGAATAACTTAATTAAACTAATAATATTTACAATGCATAACAGGCATATGAAATAATTTAGACAGGTAATTTGATTATATGCAGGTTGGTGGGGAGTGTGTTCGCTAACATTCCTAGATCGAAATTAAACTTTTAAACAAAAAATTGGTATATCAGCAATAAAATATGTGATGTTACAAATTTAATAAACCATGTACACCAAGACATTTCGGTTTGTGAGAAGATTGGATATAAATAGGCCTACTGAGTAGATGTTTTATGTACTTTCGTTTTCACCGATTATTCTTCATAAATACATAATGATATAGCATTCAAATTTTAGATTTTGACATGGATCCCAGCAACAGTGCCCAAGATGTCATCCGATGTGACCTTTGTGAGGACGCTATAGTGCAGATGTACTGTGATTTCTGTCATGTCAATCTGTGTTTTTCTTGTATAGGAAAACATATTTCTGATGACTATGACAAACATAAAGTTGTCCCATTCCAACAAAGAAAATCAACCTTGATTTATCCACAGTGCACAATACATGAAACAAAAAGATGTAAATTTCAGTGTAAAGAATGCAACACCTCTGTTTGTTCTTTGTGTACTATATCTGATACACATAAGGGGCATACCATTTCAACTCTTTTGGATATCTATAATTCAAAGAGAGAAGTCATTGGAAAAGATACTGAAGAATTAGAAAACATAATTTCTCCAGCTTATGAAGAAATAGCAATTGAAATAGAAGCTCAGATTGCTAACCTGGATGGAGAATATGAAAAACTTACAACGGCAGTTACAAAACATGGGGAAGAATGGCACAAAGAAATTGACAACACTGTAAACAAAATAAAAACAGAAATTGAAGAGATAAAAATCAAACATGTGAGCATTCTGAAAAACATTTAGATGAAATTAAACAGATACAAAATCAGATTGAACAAACACTACTTAAACTAAATAGAATAGATGAATCAAATGAAGTGTCTATGTCTATGGAATACATTTCTAAAATCAAAGAATTAAGCAAACTTCCTCCTAAAGTTAAAGTGTCACTGCCAATATTCAATC